TGGGTGAAGCTGGAGATGCGCGTCTGGCGGGCGGAAAAGTACCGTTCGGAGGGCAGAGGGGCGAGGGCGGCAGTCACAGGACATGCATATATGTTGTGATTAACATTCACGTCATCGGAATTACGAGACCTTGAAGGGTATTAAACCCTCCCCTTTTTTCCCCTTTCGATAAATACTATCTGCCCTCTGCACGGGGAAAACAAAACCCCGTAGCAGATGAGCGTCCCCGTTTCACTTCCACCCCTGGAAACTTCGTCATGCGAAAGCACGAGAGACGAACAGGCTTTTTCCTGGTATAAGCCCTGCAGAGTTGTCAGCGTTCTGCCTCTTGCACCAAGCACGGAGCCAGATCGTTGCCCCTCGTGCTCTTTCGGTAGTATTGTCCGAGGTGAGTTCAGTTCCAGTCCGCTTGGTTCTGAGAGCCGGCGGGGCTCCCGCCGGCCTGCCCTGCCCGTTGGCACTTGCTGGGTCTGCTGGGGGAGCTCCCGCCGGCCCGGCCCGGCCCCGCGCTGCCCCGCTCCCTGGGTGCAGCGGGACTGGGAGGTGTGGCTCCGCTTTCCACTTCATCAGCCGAGGGCCTTTCCCAGTGTTTCTCCTCTTTAAACTTTGGACGCCTTAGAAACCTTTGTGAGTTGTGGTTGGTGGAGTTTGACACTGGAGGGGAAGTGTTACCTGGAAGCTTTACCTTAGAAGTGTGTGAACTCTTTACTAACTTGGGATCCAAGAAACTCAACTCACTAGCTAGAAAAATACTCAAAAGCACCTTTGTTTTCACCGGAATCAAAGTTGGTCTGTTCATACCCAAACTTAAACAGTCTTACATTAATTTTTTTGAACTCAGTTCACTCACATGAAGTGGCTTTTTTCGCTCTCGGTACTGAGGGTAATTGCAGTGGAGAAGTTTTCCTGTGGACACTAGTAAAGACGTTCAGTCTAACTGACGTATTAAGTTTGGCTGCTTCTTTTTGAAAAACCTGGATGCAGGTTTGCATCTTGTGACTGAGCTCTTTATCCTTCTGAAGTAGAGCAAAACTGGTTTCCATAGCCTCAGTGTGGGTGCTATTTTTACTTCCAGCAGTTTCTGCTGAATTGGTGCACAGACTAGGCTCAGGAGTCTCTTTTTGTACTAGACTTTTCTTCATAGTGTTGGCTTTCAGGCTTGTATACTTCTTATGGTAGGGGTATTGAAGGTGCCTGTGACTGAAATCCCATTGAGACCTATGGTTCTCTTTTTTTAAAAATAAAAATAATAAATCCTCCACAAACTTGTTACTGAATTAAAATATAAACAATTATGCCTTGTTCATGGTATTATGTGGTATTTATTTCTGTAAATAGTGTGCAGCTATTCATTATTTATCCTCTTCCTTGAACCATGATATATGAAATACCCTTTCTGGCCTGTGATGGCTAAAAACTGTTTCTTCCCATTTCTTTTGTGTGAGTTGGTGTTAAGTCCCATACATGTAAAGAAACAGCTGGGTAAAAATAAGTGGTTTTTTTTTTTTTTTATTTTTAAAAAGAAACCCAGGCTCCTTAGCATTGCAGTGGAATCAAGCAAAAGCTGATATGAGAATGAAGATTTTTTTTTTTGGTGTGTGTGTGTATGCATGTATCAGATTACAGGAGTGCCTAAATATACTGTAGGAATAAGTCTGTGGGTTTTTAGCTGGACTAGGAGGAGTCTGATGAAATACAACCACAGAAACATACTTGTAGTGTCTGTCCTGAATATTTTGTGCCTTGTCAGCAATGCAGGAAGGCGTTTTTATGAGGGCTTCCTGCATGGACCTATGAACTTTCCTTGTCAGTTCCTTATTAATGTTTTTTTTGATAAATGGAATATGGTGCCATCATCTCAGATAAGCACTGACTGTGTAGGAGTTTTGGGTACAAAAATACAGCTGCAATCCCCTATGTGAAACTATACTGTTGAAGGTAGAAACAGATGGGAAGAGCCCTGTTTAGAGTTTATACTGGTGAATAGTTTGAAAAGTTCTACTACAGGAGCCTGGTTCGGGAGAATAGTGAAAGATCTCTCTGTGGAAGGTAGCTGCAGGGTGCAGTGTTCACTCCACTTTATATTAAAGGGGAATGCTGATGCACAGTAGAAAAGCAGAATTGGAAACAAACACAAAAAGCTGGAGTACACCATACGTCTTGCAGAGGAAACACAGGGGAAATCAGTAGAGTGTGTAGTTAATGAACTGTTAGGTCAGCAGAGATGTTAGTGGTCATTCTGCCTTTGATCTAGTGTAATGCATAATATTAGTGTTACCTCCATTAAGTTTCCTCTCAGTAACACAAACTCAAACCAGTTTTGAGCTCACTTCAGGCCTAAGCAAGTCGGGAGACTTATTTAACTCAGTGGCCGGTTAGGTAGATGTTCTGCTGTACTTGATGAAGTCCTGAAGTTCACAGTGACCTGTGCCAGTTCCTGGTGAGTCACCTGTGGATGGTCCTGATGCTGTAATGTATCTCATAACACCAATAAAGTGTCCATGTCACTGAGATGGCTATGGTCCTCCTTAGGAAGTTGCTGCTGTAGAGACTCACCTTGAAATAGTGAAGAATTGCTCTGTAGACTCTTCAGCTTGCAGCAGAAGTTGCCATAGTTGGATGGATGAGGAGCACACCAACTCTGCTGCCCTGCTCTTCATTCTGCTCACTGGTAGAGTAGACCTTATACTCCCAGGATGGGCAGATGGGGTCTGAAATGGCTATTCCAGCAAGCAGTAGGTCTTCTAATACTTCTTCTCAGAAACCAAGTAGCTACTGGCATGTTCTTTTTCCAGCTTTGCCATGCAGCAAGTCTGAGACAGTGATGATGTCTTTATCTCTAGATACCTACTTACCTTCCACTTGCACAATTTTTTTTGCCCCTTCAAGCATAAAGCTTTCTGGGTCAGATAAATACAAGCAAGTGGCATGCTGGAATTCATGGACTTGCTGTGTTTCTCTGAAGTTTATGGAGCAACTTGTGTTGGATGCACACACTTTCCCTCCTTCTCCACTGTTTTTTTTCCTCTGCCCTCATTTCTTTTCAGTAGCAATGAAAGGAGTTCTTTGGTTTGCTCCAGTGCACCAGTAAAAGAGTACACTCCACTACACCCTAAAACCTCGATTTTGAGGTACATGAGTAGTCCTAGGCTTTGTTTAGTCTTTAGTCTTTGCCAGCAATACTTAAAACCTCTTATTCTAGAGGACAGTAGAGCATGGCATAAGTTAGCGTTTTATGGAAAAAAAACCCAACGGAACAAACACATTCACTAATTTCCTCAAAAGGCAGAAGGCAACTTAAAGAATTGCTGTAGTGTCTCAATGGGAAAGGACTTGCAGAAAGACCCAGCAGTATTCCTGTGTTGTATGTCCTGAGAATCATCTGAAGTATTCCGAGGAGAGGAGAAACAAGAACTACACTTGAATTGTTTTGAAAGAACTACTGTGTTGGTTTTATTTTTGTTGTGTTGGCTGACCAAAATGTATGGTAGAATTCTTCAACTCTTTCTAAGGGGAGAGGGGTTAGGAAAGGTTAATCTGGAGAACATCTCAAACTAAATGTCCAAAAAGCAGAGGGAGATGTCTTTGCCTCCATTATTTCCATTCCTCCCTTTTTTGCTCCCTTGTACATTAATGCGTATGTGGACCAGGAAAAGAATGAGCTAACTCAGTTTTTCTGATCCCCTTTTCCCTAGGAATATATTTTTTTCCTAAGCAATACCTTAAGCCTCTCAGGAATACAAGTTAATAATTTTTGTTTGTACAGTACCTTACAAATGTCCTTTTGCTACTGCATGGGCATCCTTTCAATTTCCCATGTCAGTACTCTGATATATTTCCCCAGGTCTCCTTAACGGCTCCGCTGGATGCCGGGATCCCTTCTTCCCTCCCTTCCCGTATTCTGTGATGGAGAGCTTGTGCTTGGGTT